GATGTCACCTTATTTATTTATACTTTTTTTGAATGATTTAATCGGTCTCTACAATAATTCAGATTTACCGGGAATATACCTCCCAAATTATGGATATGTTCATATTCTACTATGCGCAGATGATATTGTCTTGATTGGAGAATCCAAAAATAACCTTCAAATAAAAATCAATATGCTAAGAAAATATTTTGAAACAAATTTATTAACCCTGAATGAAAATAAGTCAAAAATTGTAGTTTTCAGAAACGGCGGTCGATTAGCACAAAATGACAATTGGTTTTGGGGTGAGAGGCAACTGTCTGTTACTACGAAATATCTATACTTGGGATATCCGCTTACAAGTGGAAATTCACTAAACAAGGTAGCGTCACACTACAAGGGCAAAGCCCTGGCAGCAATTGGCGCTGTGTGGCAAGTTCTGACAAAATCCAAGATGAACTCTCTAAATGCGACAATGAGATTACTTGATTCGACGGTCTTACCTCACATGCTATACGCCGCACCCTGCTGGGCACTCAACCAAGTAAAGGTAGTTGACCAGGTTCAGAATATTTTCTTAAGACGCTACCTAAATTTACCAAAGTATACTCCGGGCTTTATGCTAAGAATGGAGTGTGGACGAGTATCACAGGAAGTTATCATAATTAAACAGGTCCTGAGATTTTGGGTGAGGATTATGAAAATGGAAGAGAGTAGGTTGCCCCGGGCATGTTTGTCACACCTCTGGACATTACACAACAATCAAAGGGCTGGTTTAACCTTTGTCGAAAACCTGTCAACCATTTTAGACTCAAACGGCTTTTCGTTCCTGAAGGGTTGTCCGGATTACGCTGCAATAATGACTGAAATCCCTGGTATTATTCGAATAGCAACCGAACAAAGCATCCAAAACGACATGGCGAAAATCCTAAATACTTCACATTACAGTCACTTCAAATACCTAAAAAATTCAATAACAGCAGAACGATATTTATTCACAACTATTCCTCTAGCAATTAAAATATTTTTTGCACAACTGAGACTCCTTTGGACGATCTTCCCAGAAAATCGTTCAAATCGCTGGAAAATTGATTTGACTCTAACTTGCGATCTGTGTAAAAACAGAATCCAAGACGAAATTATGCATATAATATTTGGATGCTCTTGCTTAGAGAAACAGAGGAAAGAAATTTTGGGTGACTTACCCTGGTCTCAACCTGACTGCCAACAAATTTGCAGCTGGATGAACACACTGATGGTTGATCAGGGTCTCTCCCTCGGTTTATATAAATTCTACAAGGCCGCAGTCAATGTCCGTTGGAGAACAATGGATGCGCCGAATGTCGTGGTTTGCTTGGAGGAAGAAAACGAAGATTGAATGCGGCTGATTCAACACTAGCCCTCTCAATGATATCCTAACCTTGACATATTTTAAACATTGGTACTTTAATTTAAATATTTAATCATGTATGGTTCCTTTTGCTCTGTATGTTTATTTTTTGTATATATGGTCATATCTATTTTTTTTCCCTTTCTTCTCGGTTTTCTTTTTCCTTATTACTTCCTGTATTCTAGTTTTTACTTTCGAAATATCTTCCTTTGCTAAATCCTGTAGAGGGGAATCATGTATAGGGCTGGATGCCCCAATAAAAAGGCTTTTGTGTGTGTGTGTGTGTATATAATTGCCTTATTCTGTCTGTGTGGAGTTCACTGTGTGAAGTTCACGGATAGATTTTGGTCATCAACGCGCGCATCATCATTATGATCATTATCATTATCTAATAATTATTATTTATTTATTATATATTATCTACTTATATAATTGCTTTATTCTGTCTGTGTGAAGTTCACGGATAGATTTTGGTCAGAATGGATAAAATAAAAAAAGTGTCAAGGGATGGGAATCGAACCCACGACCTTCCACTTACCGGGCAGATACCATGACCACTAGGCCACAAGTACAATACTTAAATGAAAATATGTTTCTTATACAATCTAAAATTATAAAATAAACTTTTAAATCGGTAACCTTTATATATTATATATATTATATATTTTATATTTTTATATATTTTATATAAATTATCTACTTATATATTTGCCTTATTCTGTCTGTTTGTCTGAAGCTCACGGATGGGATTTTTCATAACCATCGGTGGTTCAGTGGTAGAATGCTCGCCTGCCACGCGGGCGGCCCGGGTTCGATTCCCGGCAGATGCATTTTTTTTTTTACAATTTTTAAAACTCATTTATATATTATACAAGAATGACATCCACGGCGCCAATTTATAATTGTAACGAATAGTATTTGAATAAAAGCATTTAATCGGGTAAAACCCGGGCGTTGCCCGGGTCATTCGTATATGATATAAAAAGCCAACAATGAAGAGTGAATGTAATATAAAAAGCCAACAATGAAGAATGAATGTAAGATAAAAAGCCAACAATGAAGAGTGAATGTAATATAAAAAGCCAACAATGAAGAATGAATGTAAGATAAAAAGCCAACAATGAAGAGTGAATGTAAGATAAAAAGCCAACAATGAAGAGTGAATGTAATATAAAAAGCCAACAATGAAGAATGAATGTAAGATAAAAAGCCAACAATGAAGAGTGAATGTAATATAAAAAGCCAACAATGAAGAATGAATGTAAGATAAAAAGCCAACAATGAAAAGTGAATGTAAGATAAAAAGCCAACAATGAAGAGTGAATGTAAGATAAAAAGCCAACAATGAAGAGTAAATGTAATATAAAAAGCCAACAGAGTGAATGTAAGATAAAAAGCCAACAATGAAGAGTGAATGTAATATAAAAAGCCAACAATGAAGAATGAATGTAAGATAAAAAGCCAACAATGAAGAGTGAATGTAATATAAAAAGCCAACAATGAAGAATGAATGTAAGATAAAACGCCAACAATGAAAAGTGAATGTAAGATAAAAAGCCAACAATGAAGAGTGAATGTAAGATAAAAAGCCAACAATGAAGAGTAAATGTAATATAAAAAGCCAACAGAGTGAATGTAAGATAAAAAGCCAACAATGAAGAGTAAATATAATATAAAAAGCCAACAATGAAGAGTGAATGTAAGATAAAAAGCCAACAATGAAGAGTAAATATAATATAAAAAGCCAACAATGAAGAGTGAATGTAAGATAAAAAGCCAACAATGAAGAGTAAATGTAATATAAAAAGCCAACAGAGTGAATGTAAGATAAAAAGCCAACAATGAAGAGTGAATGTAATATAAAAAGCCAACAATGAAGAATGAATGTAAGATAAAAAGCCAACAATGAAGAGTGAATGTAATATAAAAAGCCAACAATGAAGAATGAATGTAAGATAAAAAGCCAACAATGAAGAGTGAATGTAATATAAAAAGCCAACAATGAAGAATGAATGTAAGATAAAAAGCCAACAATGAAGAGTGAATGTAAGATAAAAAGCCAACAATGAAGAGTGAATGTAATATAAAAAGCCAACAATGAAGAATGAATGTAAGATAAAAAGCCAACAATGAAGAGTAAATGTAATATAAAAAGGCAACAATGATTAATGAATGTAAGATAAAAAGCCAACAAAGAAGAGTAAATATAATATAAAAAGCCAACAATGAAGAGTGAATGTAAGATAAAAAGCCAACAATGAAGAGTAAATGTAATATAAAAAGCCAACAGAGTGAATGTAAGATAAAAAGCCAACAATGAAGAGTGAATGTAATATAAAAAGCCAACAATGAAAAATGAATGTAAGATAAAAAGCCAACAATGAAGAGTGAATGTAATATAAAAAGCCAACAATGAAGAATGAATGTAAGATAAAAAGCCAACAATGAAGAGTGAATGTAAGATAAAAAGCCAACAATGAAGAGTTAATGTAATATAAAAAGCCAACAATGAAGAATGAATGTAAGATAAAAAGCCAACAATGAATAGTAAATATAATATAAAAAGCCAACAATGAAGAGTGAATGTAAGATAAAAAGCCAACAATGAAGAGTAAATGTAATATAAAAAGCCAACAGAGTGAATGTAAGATAAAAAGCCAACAATGAAGAGTGAATGTAATATAAAAAGCCAACAATGAAGAATGAATGTAAGATAAAAAGCCAACAATGAAGAGTAAATCTCTATATCTCTATATATATATAAAAGTCAATTTCTGTCTGTCTGTCTGTTTCGCGATAAACTCAAAAACTACTGAACCAATTGGTACCAAATTTTGCATGTCGCTTTTTATAAACCTGAGGAAAATTTTCGGCTGCATTTTCATTAGTATTTTTGGCTATTTCTTTTTTTCATTTGAAGAACTTTTTTTCACCCGGACTAATCCGGAATGGAATGAATACCTAAATATGGCCATTTTTTAAAGCATCGGTGGTTCAGTGGTAGAATGCTCGCCTGCCACGCGGGCGGCCCGGGTTCGATTCCCGGCCGATGCATTTTTTTATTTACAATTTTTAAAACTCATTTATATTATCAACATATATAGTCACGACCGTCATGGGTTCTGTCACGGGTGCGCGCGCATCATCATTATGATCATGATCATTATCTAATGATAATAATAATAATAAAAATAATTTTAATTTTAAAAAATAAATATTATTATTATTATTATTATTATCAACATATATAGTCACGACCGTCATGGGCCGGCCGGCCGGTTCTGTCACGGATGCGCGCGCATCATCATTATGATCATTATCATTATTATTATATTATTATTATTATCCATCCATCAACATATATAGTCACGACCGTCATGGGCCGGTCGGCTCTGTCACGGATGCGCGCGCACAGGGAGGTCACCTGCTCGCCGGCAGCCAACGGGCGCGCGCCGCCGGCATTACGTCATAGATTATAAACACAAGGTAATAAGGCCAAATAAAAAAATAGTGTGTGATAAGGCACAATTTGGATTATCTACTTATATAATTGCCTTATTCTCTCTGTGTGAAGTTCACTGTGTGAAGTTCACGGATAGATTTTGGTCAGAATGGATAAAATAAAAAAAAGTGTCAAGGGATGGGAATCGAAACCCACGACCTTCCGCTTACCGGGCAGATGCCATGACCACTAGGCTACCCTGGACATATTTTTCCGTTCACATTTTTATTTTTATACTTACTTCTACTGTCCTTACTGCGATGAAAAAATATATTGAGAGGGCTTGGCTCATCAGTGGTGAACCCTCCCAGCGGTTTCGCCAATTTAATCCACCAGACCGCTTCTCAGAGCTCTAATACTGTATTGGATCATTCTGCTTTTATATGCTACACCGAGGGATGGAATCTTAGGAATGGTTTTCAAGTAAACTATGGACATAAGCTTATAGGACAGTAGAATTACATTCAAATATTTGCTTCGAGCAATGCTCTTCAGCAAACTATAAAGCCAAGACCATTAGGAATAAATTAACACAAAGCAATAACGCGCCATCTATACATATAAAATAAAAGGATTTAAAAGCGCGAATGTTTCTTTTATACATAAAACGAACTTCTACTGTCCTTACTGCGATGAAAAAATATATTGGGAGGGCTTGGCTCATCAGTGGTGAACCCTCCCTGCGGTTTCGCCAATTTAATCCACCAGACCGTTTCTCAGAGCTCTAATACTGCTTTTAAATCCTTTCATTTTATATGTATAGATGGCGCGTTATTGCTTTGTGTTAATTTATTCCTAATGGTCTTGGCTTTATAGTTTGCTGATGAGCATTGCTCGAAGCAAATATTTGAATGTAATTCTACTGTCCTATAAGCTTATGTCCATAGTTTACTTGAAAACCATTCCTAAGATTCCATCCTTCGGTGTAGCATATAAAAGCAGAATGATCCAATACAGTATTAGAGCTCTGAGAAGCGGTCTGGTGGATTAAATTGGCGAAACCGCTGGGAGGGTTCACCACTGATGAGCCAAGCCCTCCCAATATATTTTTTCATCGCAGTAAGGAGAGTAGAAGTTCGTTTTATGTATAAAAGAAACATTCGCGCTTTTAAATCCTTTTATTTTATATGTATAGATGGCGCGTTATTGCTTTGTGTTAATTTATTCCTAATGGTCTTGGCTTTATAGTTTGCTGAAAAGCATTGCTCGAAGCAAATATTTGAATGTAATTCTACTGTCCTATAAGCTTATGTCCATAGTTTACTTGAAAACCATTCCTAAGATTCCATCCTTCGGTGTAGCATATAAAAGCAGAATGATCCAATACAGTATTAGAGCTCTGAGAAGCGGTCTGGTGGATTAAATTGGCGAAACCGCTGGGAGGGTTCACCACTGATGAGCCAAGCCCTCCCAATATATTTTTTCATCGCAGTAAGGACAGTAGAAGTTCGTTTTATGTATAAAAGAAACATTCGCGCTTTCAAATCCTTTTATTTTATATGTATAGATGGCGCGTTATTGCTTTGTGTTAATCTAATGATAATAATTATTATTATTAATAATAATTAATCTACTTATATAATTGCCTTATTCTGTCTGTGTGAAGTTCACTGTATGAAGTTTACGGATAGATTTTGGTCAGAATGGATAAAATAAAAAAAGTGTCAAGGGATGGAAATCGAACCCACGACCTTCCGCTTACCGGGCAGATGCCATGACCACTAGGCTATATATTATATATAAATTATATATAAATTAAATATTAAAACTATATATTCAAATTATTCTATTTATCTCACGAACAGCGCCCTCTATCAAGGTTATAAATACGTTTAATATCGAAATCTTTTAAAAAATTTATTAATAATAGTTCGCTTACTAATTAGAATACTTGATCTAAATCTAAATATTTATAGACGCTCGCTCGATTCGAAGATTTATATCGTAACTAATCTGACTGTAAAGTTTGGAGCGGGACGTTTCACAAGAGTGACATCCACGGCGCCAATTTATAATTGTAACGAATAGTGTTTGAATAAAACATTTAATCGGGTAAACCCGGGCGTTGCCCGGGTCATTCGTCTAGTACAGTAATAATGCAGAAAATGTTACGTAAGCATTTTTAAAGTAAACATCATTACATTAGGTAGCACTTTATTTTTGACAAGAAGAGTTGATATGTAAGCCAAAAGCTTTATTTTATTCGTTATTAATTAAATTTTTCTCTTTAAGAATCATAAATAAAAATTTAAATAACAAATTATTGAATTTTTAATTAAATATGTTTATTTTAAAATGCAATCTGTTTTGCTTTCAACTCAAAAATAACGACAAGCTCTGGAATGCTATTTTCGGAATAACAGTTTTAATATATATATTTAAATTGAACCTAGCGATTTGTTTAATAGATTTGCATCAGAAGTGACAGGTAAATTTGAAGTGATCAGTTTATTCTTCTCTATCGATTTGCTTTTATAAATAGTGGGCAATAGACTGTGTCAATATGCCGAGGCGTTGCATTAATATTCCTGATATTTTCTGTTACATTTGTGGGGGATTAACTTTCAAAGTTCAAAGGCGAAACTTTACACCGCTCATCAAAAAGTGCAATCAACTTTATTTTGGCTGTAAAGTCGTTGACCAAGATAAGACTATATAGCACATGCATCCAACATGAAAGAGACTTACGAAAACATGAAACTGCTTTTGAAAAAAATAGAATATGAAAGATACGGTTGAAAAATATGCAGCGATTTGAAAGTCATTGCTCTCTTGCGTGGATTACAGCTTGGATATACAAAATGTTGTTGTTTTCTGTGTGAGTGGGTTAGCAGAGATTGGGAAATGCATTACATTAAAAAAGCTGGCCAAACCGTGAAATCTTTACTCCAGGACATAAAAATATTGTAAATCCTACCTTGATCGATTCAGAAAATATTTACTTATCACCATTACATATTAAACTGGGATTAATGAAGAACTTTGTCAAGGCAATGGATCGAAATACCAGTGGATTTGCCTACCTAAAACAAAAATGTTCTAGCATAAGATGCGAAAATTAAAGAAGGCATTTTCGTTGGACCTCAGATTCGAGAATTGCTGCAGGATGGAAATTTTCGAAATAGTTTGAATGAAGTTGAAGAAGCAGCATGGAATTCCTTTAGAAATGTTTGCAAGAACTTCTTAGGAAGTGTCAAGGTTGAAAATTACCGAGACATAGTTAATGATCTGTTGCTTTCCTAAAAAGCACTGGTATGTAACATGTCTCTCAAGATCCATTTTCTGCATTCACATCTGGATTTCTTTCCAGACAATCTTGGTGCGGTTAGCGATGAGAATGGTGAGAGGTTTCATCAAGATATATCAAGCATGGAGAAGCGGTACCAAGGTAAATGGAGTCCCGGTATGCTTGCTGACTACTGCTGGACACTCAAGAGAGATGTACCACAAGCAAAGTATAGAAGAAAATCCACTGTCACTACTTTTAAATAAAATAAATATTTTTCGTTCATATAGGCCTATATATTAAAAAAAATTCCAAATTTTAAGTAGGTGTATCTCAAAATTCTTGCGTGATAGAAAAAAAGGAAAATTTGTATTCAGCACAAATAGTTAAATTTAGATAAGATGCTGTTTCTTTTGGGACAAATAAAAATATTTTTTGATAAACCAGTGTAATGTAATAAGGTTTATGCAAAAATGCTTACGTAATATATTTTGTATTTTTTACCTGTCTTCTATATATATAAAAATGAATGTATGTGTGTGTGTGTGTCTGATTGTCCTTTATGCCTGACCAAACCACTCATTGGAACGCCATCAAACTTTGGGAAGTTATTTAGTATAGTACTGGGAAGGTTTCTAGCAAATAAAATTTTTGAAATAACTTTTCGCCTAGAAATAATCAAGATAAATATTCTAATTTATCTGTTATAATTCAACAATCTGCTCTAAATATTATCATGATGATATGATGATTTTGTAATGTAGAAAATTAGGAAAGACAAAATTCAGGATGACACGGCAATTTATTTGAGACAAGAATAATGATACAATTCCAAGGCAAGATACTATTCCTTTAACTTCCAATTACCGAGGGAACCAATTAATATTGATTTTATTCAACTTATCGAGTATTTTTCAAGGGACCGGGAAAAAAATGTTCACTTTATCGAGAGATTCGTTAGACAAACTTTTACTCGGGTAAAACCCGGGCGAAGCCGGGTACGTCCGCTAGTATTATGTATAAAAGAAACATTCGTGCTTTTAAATCCTTTAATTTTATATTTTTTACTGCATTTATCCCAATACCAAAAAAAGGCTATCACGCTAAAACCATGGGTGTTGGAAAATTTCTGATTAGATTTGTGAGTTCAGCATGAAAAGTTACACTAGAAACACCATCAGGTTCTCTTGGGCAAAAATGTTATTGACCAGTGTGTAATTAGAGGAATTGATAGAAGCTTATACCTATATGTGGTATCCGAGAGGGTGAAACCTGTAGTAACCGAGAGGGACAGACAGGGTGTGGAGAGTTTTCCAGTACCTCTCTGCATCTTGGAAGACCTTTAACAGTTCTCACAGAGTACAGGCAGTCGTGGTCGAGGCAGAATGGAAGACTTGGGATTGTCCACGCACAAAAACGAAGGGACTCAGTTGTACTAGGAAAGTTTCGTGAACAGATAGAGTCGAGCTAAGCGAAAGATGTAGAGAATTGAGAAGAGTTTTTTTTACTGGTCTACATGGTCGAGCATCAAAAGATGAAGTGACGAGGGCTCCCGCGGATAGTGAAGTGACTGTATACTTCCGGCCCTGGCGGGGGTTTATATACCTTGCCAAAAGGAAGTACTGGGTCTTCAGCTGATTCAAATCGGGGCATGGATAACGGAAGAGATGTCATTGTACACTCTTAACGACTTCCTGGCAACCTCCCGACATCTTCTAGGCCTCGTTATTACTTGTTGGACTTCGGAATCTCAATCTTTTTGCTATTTAGCTCAACTCTTAAACTATTACAGAGTTTCATTTTTATTATTTTCAGTTTGTAAATAGTACATTACATATGGTGATGTAATGACACATGTCAATCCTACGTATTATTATTTACAGAGATGCTTATTATACAACACGACAATCTTGTTATATTATACAATAGGGGGTTGTTGGTTTAAATTATCATAAATATATAATATGAAATTATATCGT